GGAGTATTTGGGTGTTGAATACTGTTTCCATGGCCGTCGTTGTCGTGGTCTCGGTCGCGGTTGTGGTCTCAGTCTGAGTCTCGCGAATGGTTTGGGCGGGGAAGGTTATCGTCATAGTTTCCGCTGGGTTTGTCACTGTGACCGTGGACGGGGGTGGGAATGCCGTGTTAAAGACTGTAGAAATTGCCGTGATAATCACCGGTGCCGGGATAAGAATTGACACGGAGGTTATTGTCTGTATCTGCGTTTGGAATTGCACTTGCGTGGCCGGCTGGGTGAGGAGTTGTGTCTGGATTTGTGTTGGCGGAGTATCGGTCACGGTTACCGTCTCTCGGATAGTGGTCGGCACAGGAACAGTATTCGCGGCGGTAGCAGTGAAGCTCTTGTCCACTAGTATTGTCTCCTGCACCGTGATTGCTGTTGTTGCCGTCACGGTCGCCGTCTCTCGGATGGTGGTCGGTACAGGAACAGTATTCACAGCTGTAGCAGTGAAGCTCTTGTCCACTAGTATTGTCTCCTGCACCGTGATTGCCGTCGTTGCCGTCACGGTCGTGGTCTCAATAGCGGTCTCAGCGAAGCTCTCCTTGATGGTCACAGTAGCGATGCCGCTCTTCACCACCGTCTCCGTCTCGACGTTCGTGACAAAGGATTTATCAACGACAGTTACGCTCTCCGTAACCACATTCACAACTGTCTTTATCACCGTCACAGTCACTGTGCCGCCTTCACCGGAAACTGTCTTCGTTACGGGTTGGGTGGCCCACATTGTTGTCGGCTTGATGACTGATACTGTCTGGTTCTCGCCTTCAATTGTCACTGGGACCTGTATCTGCTCCTTCGTTGTTTCGGTGTGGTGTTTTTCCGGGGGTTGGACCGTAGTTCCTGGTTCCTTTTCTATCACGGTCTTGCTCTTGCCTGGGAGTTCGATTGTAGTTCCGGGCTCTTTTTCGGTTACTGTTTTGCTCTTTCCGGGGATGTACGAGGTCTCAATGGTGGTTTTGTATTTCCATTTTTGAGAATCGATTGTGATGGGGTCTGGGTGGTATTCTAGCGGGGGGTCGCTGAAAGCTGGGTATGATGGTGTTGGTGTGGGTTTCTCATGAATGGGCTGGGTGATGTTTGGATAGTCCTTTGGGGAGTCGCAGAGGGAGCTTAACCTGTAGTTTAATTGGCACTGTTAGATTTCTATCTTTTATGGAAAATCACTTGCGAGGAGTTATTCCGAGTAGATATACCATGTCTCGGCGGCACCGCTGGGGTCACGATAGAAGTTAGCTCTCTCGATACCACATTCCCTGGGGAAAAAAGGGTAAACTCACGACTCTCCATACGGACATCCCTGCAAACAATTATAATCAAGCACAACATTGCTCGCCTTCCCACCAGAACACTTCAGTATCCCATCAGGACATATGACGCACCCAGAAGAACATCCTGGCAATTTTGATAGATCAAGCTCCGCCTGCGCCAAACTTCCCCGTAGCATCGTAAGAATTGCAAAGAATGGGGCTATTTTCCTCATGGTGTCGTGAATTCTTTACGCAGCACACAAGGGGGCAAGGGGTGAGAGGCAAGGGAGGGGAAGGGGGGGGAAGGAGAGGGAAGTGAAAAAGAGGAGGGGAGAGGCAAATCGTATGAGAAGGACCTCTGGCAGTATGATATACACTATCAGCCCTGGGCAATGGTAAACACTCCTGTATGAATGAGAGATCTAGAGTCACTTCCCACCTTTATTTCCTTGCCCACCTCCTATAGTACCTTAATGTGTATGCGGGGGTCGGCAAATTAAGTTAACTTATTGCACAAGTACCATGTCACCTTATCGAGAGGGGAAATCTACAGCACAAGCTCACTAATGTGCTTTTAGCTTTTTTTTTCCTTTTTTTTCCTTTCTTTTTCTTGGTCCCTCCCACATTCTCTCTTCGGCGACTATAGCCAGCTCTGTGTATAGTTCCGAAAGTCTACTCGAGTACGGTTTGCAGATGAATGGGTAAAACTCTACCAGCAAGTGGGTACTGGAACAACAAATATCGGACAACAAGTTGGGCTCAACTTCACACATGATCTACCGTAGCATGGTACCGTATCATACAATTCTTCCTTATCGGGCCTAGCATGAACCCCCCAGTTTTGCTACCACTCAAGTGTATTGCTGGTAGTCTGTGTTACGCCACGGCACTTGCGCTGAGCACTTACTCAAATACTAGTACTAGTACTCTCGGCGACTAGCTACATGTACTCGTATATTATCGTCCCGGGAGAGATTCCTATTAATCGGACAGCTACTTGTACAATAAAATGATACCGTAACTAACCACCTAGGGTACGGCCTATTGTTATCCAAGACATAACAGAAGAACTGGTCCGAGTCAGCAGCCCTCTCCTCTACCACAAAGGGAGAGGAAGGAAAAGGTGAAAATTGTCTCATTCCCTTCGGGCCTCGGAAAAGGGAAAGTACCGGTATTTCAAAGCTATCTGGTTGGTTGCGCCCCATCCGTAAGTGGAAGCTCTCCTCCTTCACTCCCTCACTGCTCAGTACCACAACTACTCGGTACCGTCCGTACCCGGCCGTGCGCAAGGGGTGGGTGAAGGGGGAAAAGAAAAGAAAAATAATAATGGTTGCGGATGCTGAAAGGCTTGTTCTTTCTTTTTCTTTTTACTCTCTTCCGAAGTAGATTGGGAAGCTACCGTACCGTATTAGTATTTTCGTAAATGCCTCGCGATGTGCTTTTGGGAATTGGATGAGAAGGGCGGCGAAGAGGTGCTACTTTCTTGGCCGGCTAGATCGAGCTGAGGTGCTGTTTTTTTTGTTTTTTTGTTTTTTGCTTCTTCTGCTTCTTGGGCATGAGTGCCCGAGTGCGGTGATAGTAAAACTAGTTACTCCAGTAGTTGGTTGGTGTATGCATGACATGCGCGATATGGTATTTGAGTACGGTACGGCACTGCACGAGTACTGGTATCTCAAAGGTATTCACAATTACCGTATTCCGCTACACACCCCATTCGGACGGAGGAGTGCTTGTTGGCGAGTCACTTTCCGTGTTCGGCCTTGCTAAATTTCATACAAAGTGCAGCTCCCGCTTGTGAGCGCACCCCGCACCTATCGTGGTAGGGAAGCTACAAATTCACTTAAATCTCCTTTGATAGCCCGGATACTCTGCATAGAGGCTTCTCCCGTTTATTCATTCTCCTTTTGCTCCCCCCTTCCTATCCTCCCTCTATCTCTTCCCCCGTTTCCCCCTCCCCCTTCTTCGCCCCTCCCCCCCGCCTTCTCTCTCCTTTCCCCTCACCCCCTCACCTCTTCCTCTCCCGTTAGCCAAAAAAATACCATGTCCCAAAGACCGGCTGGCACGCTCGCGGCTGGCGATTGCCGTCCCCTTCTTGACCAGCCAGAACTCTATGGCCTCGGCGTCCGAGTAGGCACATACACGCAATGGCTGGGTACAATCCTAACCGTCTGCCTGGTACATGACCCGCAGGAACGCGAGAGCATGCGGAATGTAAACTATGCGTTTGCTTTCGCAGAATGGGTTGCGTTAGTAAACCAGAACCGATCAATCTGGCCCGCCGACGCTGTAATCGTCACCTTCTTATTCATGGGCACCCTCACGCTCCTCTGCATGCTAGAGGTTTTCGACCGGATGCGCTCGCACGAGGCACGCCGGAACGATCCCAACCGAACCGGCGGCGCGGAGCTAGGTAGGATCGTGCTGCTTGGGGGGTTTATTCTGTGGGAGATTTGGTGGTGGTTTGAAGGAATCTATCACACGTTGAGGGATTGCGGAACGTTTATTTATTACTACGGCGGCCCAGTGCAGGTCCTGGGAAATTTCAAACTAATTGGGAGAATTTGGGCACCGTTACTGCTTGTTCTGTTTCTTCCTGTCTTCGAGAAGTTTAGGAATTTCATGAAGAGGTCTCATAGGAACTTCCGGCACCCCCGAGAAGATCCTGCAGCGGGAAAGGGTGAGGGGGCAGCTGCGCAACCGAGAATTCTCAGATGGATAGAATTCTGGGCGCAGGTTTTTAGCGCGGCCGAGGGAGAGGGGGAACACTATGAACCTGAAATTCCGAATCCCGAGACGAAGCAGCGAAGAGGGTTGTATTCTGCACTGTTGCTGGGAATTGGGGCGTTTATACTTATCATTTTTCTTGAGGTTATGTTGGCGTATGGGGACGTTGAGCAGATTAACAGCATCTCGGGAGTCGGCGATACAATACCGATGGTTATTGGGTGCGGAGACATGATGATGATTTTATGGACATTGAAGGAACAGAGGCAGACTGAGTTGGAAAGAGTATATTTCCCTTTTTGTTGACCGTGCCGACCATTAAGGGTTTTGCTAATCGCTTTTTTAGAGGAGACTGGAGGGCCCTGAATATAGATACCCGAAGACATTCCTGTACGACGCGGAGTTTCCGCTTGTCGAGAGTACGTCTCTTCCTTGCTCCGTATGTCAATCCCCTCGCTAATAATTTTTCCCTCCCAGAATGCAAGAGCGGCGTAAGGAATATCTGGCGACGCATCGCCGGTCGGAGCGATCAGGCTCAAGACGACCAACCGCAACAAGAACAATCGGGTGCAAATCAGGAACCACACCCACACGCACAGTAATATGAGAACAGTTTGTGTGTTTTATGGTTATGAAGGTTACCGTAATGGTTAGGTACGAGCGGTGGTAGATCTGTCGTTGGCTACTCGAGGGGTCATAATATCAGGAGTTCAGGATTTTAATGTAGTAATATTCCGATATAATGTTGCATTGCAATATCACGCAGACCACCGGTATTTGTGTAGACGTTGTTACATAACCCATCTAATGGGCCACAGGTGGTCGTGTGGTGTGAATAGCTCATTCGCAGTGTCCACTTGTAAAGAAATGACAATATCCCAACCTCCCAAGACTTAAAACAGCCATTTTTTCAGTTTTGGGAAAGAAGATCGCAGAGAATAGGGCAATATTTGAACCGTTCCGGGATAACGCGCACTTTAGGCTCTCCGGCCTTGTGGAACTGGAAATTACACTCCTTGTAGGCACAGGGTATAATATGGATGAGTAGAACAAATTCGCCTAGCGAACCCAATCAAGGAAATACCGCACAAAAGTAAGCGACATACGATAGTACATCTCACGCTCTTCAGCATGTACTAGTACTATAGTTCAAGTGGGTAGCCCACCTCGATGGTTGCGCACGTCTCCGCTTTAACCGCCGTAGAAAGTGACAAGTTACTCCTCATCTGCTGGGAGTACAGCGCTTGTACCGTACGATATTAATACTTGTATTCGCCTACGCCCCGACAACCCCAGTAAGCCTAATCCTGGGCTTCAGGTGTGTCGCGACAGATGGGGAGACGGAAGGCTGGTTCCCCAACCACCATGACAGCAGATAAAAGCACAACCCCGGTCACGAGATCTAGTCCTCTAGGCAAATTTGGAAATTTAGCCGTGGGGTAATGGGTGGTACAACAGGGTTGAGGATGTCTGAAGGTAAAGTATGATGACAACAGGCCATGCGAGATCTCGAAGAATTCTTTCCCATGTGTCCGAAATGAGTGATTAGTGATCCTCTTCTTTTCTTTTTCCCTTTCCCTTCTTTGAGGGGGCGTGGAACAATCCTAGCATCATGGAATATAGTTCGGTCTTAGAATTTGACCTCACCTACTCCGCAAATATTCCTAGTATTGAAGCATTAAATTTTACTACCCGTTAAGGGCGCACCGATTCAGAAGTCTATCGCCAAGGTATTCCCACTAGTGGCAATCCAATTACTCTCCCTTGACCCCTTGGTTATAGGGGAAATATGTTGATAGCTCTCGCTCATAAATCAAATATAGCCAGAAACCAGTGTCCCTGGTAGTGTTAAGAAAGAAGGTACGAGAAAGAGGGGGGCTGTTGCTAGCGAGGTGTAGTTGAGCTGTTGCTTGTCCGTAGGTAGAAGAAGCCGGGGGAGAGACTAGTAATTTTCCTGAGTAACATGATTGGGCCATCACTCCTCAAAAAATAAGCAATTTTAAAGACCTGAGAGAAGTGCATCAACGCGGAAACCATTACTGCTGATCGACTTGAGAAAAAAAGACTTCGGGGTTGGGGCATTGATGCGGGACTGTTTAATCTACTACTCCTCACAGATTCGGATTGCATAATAGGTGCTTGGGAGAGATTATTTTGGAGAAAGAACTGCTTGAACACAGAAGAAAATTAACTGGAGGTTAGTTTGAATCATGGCTTATTATGCTAGGGGAGGGTGATAGGAGTTCTATGAAGCCTGTTCCAACTTTTAGGGGAAAATCTTTGTTTGACCAACTCTAAAGCGGCATGGAGAGTGCTTCCCTTTTATGGTCAGCAATAAAAACAAAGCCGGGCCTGCTCCGGTCTATATATATCCATCAATAAAATTCCTCTGGGCCTGATCCTTCAATACCCGGGAACAGATCGGCTGTTGTAAAACCCAGAATGAACATCGGCAAGTAATAGAGGAATAATAGATAGATGAAAGATTGCTTGCTTTCTTTTGGTGATACCTATCACACACCTCTATATAATACAGGAATACCTTTTCTGGTTGTACGTATTCTAAACACCAGCCCCTGACGAGTCTCCTGACTTAAGGGTTAAGCATCTCCTAGCTTCACGCTAAGTGTCTCCTATTTTTTCTTGACCAGACACGTTACTTTATACTAAAATAGAGTTTTTGCCCAAAACTCTCTAATCACAGTCACTATAGAGGTTTCGTGTTGCAATCAGACACACACCTTACTCACCACCCACTATTCTAAATCCACTAGGAATGGTGACCCTCCCTTGCTAGTACAAGCCTCGCAATGGGCCGACCCGGGCCGTAAATTCCTCAGCCCGGCCCAAACCCGGCCCAAACAATGTCAGGCCCACCCAACCCAACCCAACCCAAATAACACCTGGGTGACCCAGAAAGCCCGAATATTTCAAATCAGAGTAATCAATTTACTGCATTTGAAGAAATCAATTATTTTCAATATCAATACTCAAAAGACATAGTTTTCCTGGTGAGCGAATTGTAGAAGCTACAAGAAAAGAGAGTGTTGTAAAGCTGAGGTCATTTGCAGGAAAGTAAATAAAAAAACAGGAAATATGAAAAGAAAAGAAAGGAGAAAGAGTAATTAGGAGAAATGAGATTCTAAGGACCATGAGCGATTTCCCCCAATCCATCCATTGACTGCCAGCTCCGAAGGCATTGAACGGCTTCAATTGTTTTTGCACCAAGTGAATGTCGTGAATCACTAATTGTGCGCTTAGTTCCGGAGAAGATTCTCTCTGGTTCTGATGACATTGCCGGTATACTGTGTATATTGATAGCCCACTTTGATAATACTGGATATTCCCTTTGCCGTCCTCGGTCAAACCACCAGCTATAAAGTTTATATATTAGTAGGAATATTAAACATGATCAATTCATAGAGGCATACCCAAGTGGATCCTGGACCGAGACATCTGGCTCTGCATTGCTACAATATCTGTCATACTCATCCTGCCCCTGGCTAGCATGTGGCATTATATTCATCCATTCCTCAAAGTCATCATTGACCTCCCGATGCCCTTCCTCAATTCGTACTTGCTCTGGAACATGATCTCGATTGCCTCTAGGCTGAGTTAATTCCAAATAGCTTAGCCAATGAATTTTCAAGCGATTCTTTGAGCTAACTACCCAGGCCACCTCCCATTTTGTTTCAAAGTAACGCCACTTAAACTTAGGATTGAGCACTACTGCTGCTAAGTATACTGGGGCTCGATCAGTAGCAGAGAAATACTTATCCAGTTTCTCCCATCCAATTTGAATCATTGATGATAATTGACGATTTGTAGCATTTTCCTCAAGTGCTCGCTTGTATTGAGCTAGAAGGAAATCAATTGAAGGTAGAACCTTGGTTAATGTGTCACCATGCCCTTCGGTTGCCTTAGTTGCGATCATAAATGCCCCCAATATTTTTTTGATTTTTTCCAGAAGCTTCCATTCATGTCGGTCGATTCTGTCCTCCTCAAGTGATGGGTTACCATCGATGTAGATATCAATAGCCTGTCTAATGCAAGGTAGCAAAATCGATTCAAGAGTTCCATACCAAGAATTCCATCGAGTTGAATTGTCTTTCTTGATCAAGGGGCCTCCGGTAAGTATACGAAAAGATTGAATCCGTTGTGGCGTCCTCCGTGAATGAACTGCAATGTTATGAGCCTTCCCTAATGGCCCCAACCTTCGCCACTCTTCCATTTCATTAAGCAATTCACTCGCATCTGCTCCATCACCTATCTCGCCCAAGATAGCACTACTTGATCCAAAGAGAAATGCTTGCACACTAAGGTTTATTATATGCCCATTGCATCTACAATTCGGAATTATTATATTAGTAAAAGTGATAGAGCAGATATGTATAGAATGAATAGTTCACTCACCTTAGCCTATTCTCATAGGCACATAGAGAAAGGCCTATCTCGGCCTGTTTCTCTACTAAACAGTCAATAAAAGTATCGTTGTTTGTAGCATTATCCATCATGAAATAACCAATTTGGTCCCGAATATCATATTCCTCTATTATAGCAATAAAGGAATCGCATATATTTTCCCCAGAGTGTGATCCTTCCATTTCCTTTAAGGCAAGTAATGCTTGAGTGAGGATGCCGGTTGGGGTGGTAAAATGGGCAATAACTCCAAGGAATGCAATGTGATTGGGTGAGGTCCAGAGGTCTAGTGTGAAGTGAATTTTTGATATCGAGAGATGCAAGAGATCTTTTAACTGAGATTGCTGATGTGAGAAACGATGAAATATCCAAGACTTTATTGTATTTGGCGAAGATGGTAGAAGATGTGCCGCGGCTGGCCGAATAGTGTATATAAGGTCATGAAGTTCTTGAGATGTTGCAAAGGTAAATGGTAAATCACGGCAGATAAGCAATCGCACTACTAAGTCTTGAAATGACAGTGGTATTAGTGTGGGCAACTCTGACTCCTTGCGCAACTGCTTCTGAACCACCGCTTCCTTCCGTTATAATTCCTGCTGATGAGCGATATCCGTTGCAGATTTAATCATGGACTCAATCGTTTGTTGGGATTGCCTGAGACGCTTATTGTGGGAGGAGATATCTTCGCGTATTCCATGAACGGAAGTTAAGTGCTGGCTTGGATTCCTGGTTCCATGAGCTTGGGGGTAGTGTTGAGTGCATAGCTGACACTGCCAATGTCTTTCTAATATTAGCATTCGTGAAAGATCACAACTGGTGATGGAGTTTATTTTGCTGATACCTAATCCCTAAAATTTCTACCGATAGTCCAAGTGGCTCCTCAGCTTTTCCCCATACCCAGGAACGGGTAGTTGACTGCTTGCGCTTGGATTGCTGGGTAGGCGGAGGTATAGCAATTGGAGAAGGTCTTGGAGATAGAGCAGCCGTCAGATTCTCATCATCAAAGTCAATGTGAGAAACATCGCTGCAGTCAGCAACTGAAAGGTGAGAAGCGCTGACGGGAGAGCTCGGATATGAAAAGATAGAGGAGAGTTCACTAATATCATCTTCAATTTCCTGCATTGGAACAGAGTTAAGTTTGAAGGATATGAAAGACTTGTGATAACTTGAATTGAATATACAAGAAGGAGGATTATCAAACAGCGGATGGTAGAGCACTCGGAATCAACCATAAGCAGAATACGGAAAAGGGGTAATTCAACCGATGAGGCTGAAAATTCTCAACATTCTTGAGAATGACGCAAGTCCTGGGGTTCACAATCAACTCAATCAGATATGAGTGATATCGTGTGACTTGATAAATCAAGGTT